GGGTGGAAAATGCAGGCAAAAAGCGGGTGGCCTGGCCTGGTGGCCTCGGCGGATTAGCTACCTTGTGTACTTCCGTGCCTCCGCCTGATGCGTAGACTCAATAGACATGTTGGTGCATCTGCGCAGACATTTTGTAGAGAGGCACCCAAACAATGTGTCATGTGTATGTAGGGTTGAACTTGCCTTGGTATATATGTGCAAGTAAACAAGAAAGATTCGCATGCAGGTACGCAGAATAAAGCTCCATGGCAATGCGATAGATATAGGTGTCGCAACATTCGCAGACTCACTGTAGCAGTCATGTAAGTCTCTGGAAGTTTCTAAGTCAGGCGTTCGGTATATCAAGCCCCGTTGATTGAAACAGTACTCATCCGACCGTTTGCCTGCAAGCTTCTCGGTTCAGCAAAGGCTTTGCGTTCTAAGCTCGTGACCTAATTTTATGGAATTTGGGACTTCTTCGCTGTGCTTGCTGTGGCGTTGGCGAAGCTCGCGAGCAAGTGAACCATTGGCGCTTAGTATGCCAGTGTTGCAAGTTCAACATTTAGATTGAAGTAACTCGAGATGTGCATCTGCAAATCCATGATCCGAATGGAAGCATACCGTAGATTCCGTAAATGCAAAGGATTTAAAAATCCAAGCAGGGCGTGAATCTCATGACATGATTGCCCAGACGCCGCAATCCTTCTAGGGCACGCCTGAGCGTTGAGGCCATAAGTGCTTCCTTCCGGGCAGGTGGAGCTCCGGTTGCGCAGGTGGACAGACGCCGTCTCCACTTGGCAGGAATCTTGGAACAGCTTGGGGCAAGGGGAATTGGGTTTTGAGGGCTTCCGTTCTCGGTTCCATTCATGTTCTCAGGGTGTGCAGTTACAGGCGGTCGTCAGCATGGAAACGGAGGAGTTCTCTATGGACGTCGCTGAGGACTGGTAGCATCATGCACACCTGCATACCGCTTGGAACAAGGCCAATCCAGCCTGTTCCCAGCAGGCGACGGGCAGGTGGGGTGCCGGCCAGGAGCGAGGAGCGCTGTCAAATGCACAGAACAACCTGGGCATTGCTCTGAAGAGTGCGCAGAGGCGGGGATGAAGCTTCGAAGGAACTAGGACCAGTGACCAGTCTTTACATTCCGCGGTTCAATCGCTTTGTTCTTTGTTTGCTCCAGCCTCAAGGACTGCATCGGGAAGCGTTGCATGCGGTCTTGGGAAGGCTGGACGAAGCTGCTTTGGCCTTCAACGAAGCCTACCGTCTGTCGACAAATGGTGATGACAAAGTGGCCACCTACCAGGCCATGCCGAAAAGATTGAGTGCGGATGGGGTTCCGCCGTTCAATCTTAGAATCTTGCTGGTACACGTAGCTTTCTTATTCTTACATGACCTGTTGACCGGAGCGCCTGCAACTGTCCCACGAGGAAGGCCCGAAGCTCGAATTGGGATTTCCTAGAAGTTCCAAGTTGAATTGCTCCCAACAGCACGGTGCCATCACCTCGAGCACTCCGGTCTGCAGAGCACATTGGCAGGCCGCTCAAATTCTCCAGAATGCATCGCAGTGCCTCCTGCCTGCTTTCACGATTTGGGGTTTGAGCTTCACGCATCAAAGAATCGAAACCATGTAGCGCAGACGTGCCCAGTGCAAATGCTTGAAAGCCAGTGCTTGAGCAAGAGCTGCGAAGTGTTGCACCAGGAGGAAATAAATTAGGAATGCACGCTCGGAAAGTGTTTGTTCTAGAGCTGTCGTCTTCTTTTATGGAGGGGTGTGGATCATGGTTGCCTCTTTGCCTACATACCCGAACATACCCCACCCAGGCCTTTTGGCACAGGCCAAAGCAAAGGAGGCACGTAGCTTCAGTGCCCGCAGCTTGGATTCATTCGTTGTTCGGGCATCTACTCTGTGCAGCCTCGCCTCGTCAGGGTTTAGGGACCGTTTGTCACAGTTTAGATTTGTTGGATTGCCCTAGCTTCATTCATGAATCAACGTACAGACGCTCCACAGCACGCACAACACTGCTCCGGTACATTCTTTACATGGGTTGTCCGTGGTCTTCGGAGCTATAGATCTCTCGCCCGTTTCCACCGAGGGGCCTTGGAGATTACTCAACGAGTATTTGGCGAGCACCACGCTTCCCTGGCTCTGGCAAACCTTGCACTTGCGCGGTGCTTGCGGGCTGAAGGCGGGTGGAAGCCGTTGTCGAAGCATGTCGTACTGCAGCGAGGAAAATTTGCCGGTGGTCTTGCGAAAAACGGAGACATGCGGGACTTCTTTCTGCATCAGCCTGTGCTGACATTGTAAAGTTGCATTGCGTGGTGCTAACCAAGGCCCAGGAATTGGGAAGCTAAACTAAGTAACCAAGGCCACAAAGGCGCAGTGAGGCCTCTGCTGCGGCCAGCAAACTTAGCTCCAAAGCCGTCACTTCCGAATGACTGACCCGACATGGAACATCGAAAGCTGAGTCAAGGGGCGCCTAGAGTTCTAGATTCCTAGAGTACTCGAACTCACAAGCAGATGCTTGAACGCCTGCGCCCAACAACCCTCCAGCTACCAAGCAAAGCTCAGAGCTTGTTCGGTGAGGTGAACTGAGACAGGCCGTGGCCGCTTATGCCAAAGCACTCGAGATTTTCGCGCAGAAGACAAACGAGGCCAGGGATCCAAAGCTTACCCCCCGAAATTCCAAAGCAACCCTAGGATTGCAACCAGAAGGGGCTGTAGAGTTTGGAGTTTGAGCCTTCGGGGATTGATGGTGGCACGAGGCTTGAGGCAGGTGCAACGCCTGGAGCATGAGATCTCCCTTGGCTTGTTTCTGAGGAATGCTTGGAAGAGATACCAGAAGTACCCAGTGACCTGGCTTCACGGTGCATTCGACTTGTTGCAGACTGGGAACAAGTTTCGACCTCTCGCTTCGCGAGGTCGCGATCGCCTAGAGCAGCTGCAGGGACAGGCGGCTCATGGAATTCATCTGACTTCGATTCGGTCGTGCTCGGCCGACCACGTTTGCTTATTATTAGTTGTGTTGAGTGTTGGAAGCATGGATTTGTTACAACTTCTGCAGTAGTCAGTCGTAGGATGGCTTGGAAATGTCTAATTGTCTAAAGGCAGGATGCATGCGTCCCGCAACAACTTTGACAAAATGCGGCTCACCTATGGTTTGCGTTGCTGGCATGCCGTCTGAGGCGACATGTCTCCACTGCTCGGTATCCTAACTCGCATGCACCTTTGTGACAGCATGGTACCTGTATGGAACTGCAAACTGTTAAGATGTGGATACCCTGCATGAACTGAGTCTGATGCATTCTGCTGAAGTGCACCCTCCGAAGTCTTAAAAGCCCTCATCCCGCAAGTTTTACCACAAAACAAAGCTCCAGCCCGCAGGTCAAGGCTGAACTTGCACAGTTGCTTGCTATCGCGGAGCAGGCAAAGGCCGCGCTTTCACTAGACTGGGCGAATCTGTTGGTTCGGAGGGGTATGTGGGGGACGAAGAGATGAGGCATATACGACAGAACTTGTGCAAGCGCGCTCTTCATCCAGACATCTGTTGACTGTAGGCCCTGTAGGCGTGCCTGCTTGCCTGCATGCACATCTCAATGCTTGTATGTGCGTATGCATAGGCACGTGTTTATGCGTGTCTGCATGCATGCATGCATGCATGTAGGTATATATGTGATGTGATGCACTGTAATGTAATGTCATGTCATGATCTGAAATGTAATGAATGTAATGTCGTGTACTGTAGTGTAATGTAATGCAATGCATAATGCAGGTATGCATGCATGCATGCATGCATGCATGCATGCATGCATGCATGCATGCATGCATGCATGCATGCATGTATGTATGTATGTATGTATGTATATGCTTTTCGGTATGCTACGTGACGCAGCGAACTATTAGAACATGCATTCCTGCACTCCTTCGCAACGCTCAAGAATACATACGGCGCATGCAAGGCCTGCAATACATTGCTCGCAGACGGTGACGGCGCCATTCCACAGACGAAATGGAGCTTGCGGTAGTACTTCCAACCGACGTATATTGTCATACCTCACCCGTGCCATCGTGGTCGCATACGGCAAATCAAGGGATGTGCCCTGCATTACATTCTGTTGCGCAGGCGGTTAAAATGACCGAAGAGTGAGCGAATGAATGACAAAGACTGAGACGGATGTATGTCTGTTTATAACATGTAATTATTTCTATCAGCGCGATTTTCGAAAGAAAGAGAAAGAGGGCGAGAGACAGAGACAGAGACAAAGATGTAGACGTACCAAATGGCCTCACTGCATTTGTTCGCCCATTTGATGCCCGGGAGAGAGGCACGGAGGGAGGAAACGGAGATATCGAAAGACAGAAAGGCAGACAGAAAGACAGAAAGACAGAAACCGGAGAAGAACCAAAATGCCCCTAAAATAGGAAGGCCTACAGGACAACCAAGCTAGGTGCGTTTCCCCTTCCCTCTCCCGTCCTACATATGCCCTCTTCGAGGCCAGTGCTGCCTCTGCAGATGCCACAGCTCAGGGTGGAGGGTACTCAGAGCAGTCGCACGCGGCATAAAATGGTTGCTGCAGGAAAAATCATTACAAATCTGCCACATCTTAAGTTTGCCAGCCTCATCTGCTAGGATTTTCCTTGCTTCTGTCTGTGTTTATTGGATGTCGTGGGCGCGGTGAGAGTTGAATCTGTAGCCCAGCTGCAATTCAACCACAACTTCACCGGACTTACCTCAGCACTAGTCTTTCGTGGTGGTGGTGCAGGCAGCAGCAGTAGTAGGTAGCAGGTAGTAGGTATTGGTAGTAGCTAGAAGGTAGTGGTAGTGGTAGTGATAGTGGTAGCAGCACCGGCAAAAGAAGGAGCAGTAGCAAAAGCAGAAGTAGAAGTGGTGGTGGGGGTAGTGTGGTAGCAGCAGTAGCAGTAGCAGT